TGAAGAGCTCACCGATCTTTCTGCGGATGCTTTCAAAGGAATTACGGAGATCCATCACTTGTAAGCTCTTGGTACGCTTATTAAGCACACTGCAAACATCCATATTCTAGGGATTTATCAGACACTTCTATAAGCCAGCTGCCCATCATTGGCCTAAAAAATCTCAAAACATTGGCGCTCAAAAATGTCCCGACTCTGAAAAAACTACCGCCAGTGCTAAGCTTTACTCATCTGGAGACCGCGCACTTTACGTATCCTCACCATTGTTGTCTTTTCAAGGTAAGTCAACATAAGACCCGTCATGCGAGAAAAAAGACCGTCGGAAAATTTAATCGTTATTTCTGTATTTTCAAAATTTCCTTTCTTCTCAATAATTAACAAGAATATAAATTGCTGCACCTCGCCGCTTTTTTTGAACACGTTTTCATTCATCTGGAGTAGCTTCCGCAGAACCTGCCTCATTCAATATTACTGAAAAATGTGAATTGTTTGCTTTATTTCAGCCATCTGCTAATGCCTCCCTTGCGCGTTTGGCCCATTTTCAGAGCCATCCAAAATGGAGCTCACTTTTCTCATTTAAACATTGTGAATGACCGTCACCCATATCAAAAAAGTTTTTTTCTTCATTCTCTTACTTTGGAGAAGCGAAGAAATTTATCAGACCTCGGTGGCAGGTCTCTGGAGGGCAAGCTGGATTTCGTTTTCGTGGAAAAAGCAAAGGCGAAATCGTATGGGATTCGGAGAGGTGTTTGGAGTTCAATCTCAATTGCAGCTTTTTCACAACAAGAATGTTGAAGCCCTTTCCCTCCTTTCCTCCTTCCTAGCGCTGCGGCCTGAGTATTTCCGTCTTATACACATATCTATCTAAGTACCGATCAAAAACCTGCTCCAGCAAAGGGTTAGTGTGTTTCAATGTGGGCGTTTGCGCGGGGAATTTAAAAAATCGAAAAATTCAAATAAACCCGTTCTTCTAAGCGAATAGGCAGTGAACAATCACAGATTGGCGCAAAGATGCGCAACAAAGAGTAGAAGTGTTTGAAAAATCTTTGAAATAATATGAGAATGAGAAAATCGCCGTACCTTTTTGTGATTTTGGTCTCCGGCGGAGACCTGCGGAAGACCTCAGGTCTCCGATTAGCCAACACTTTTTGTTCCTCGTAATTTTGCATTGCTCACAGCAAGCACTTTTTGTGCGCCTCTTAACCCAACTTACAGAGCAATAATTAGATCACAGCACTTTCTCCCTTCTTTGCTAGGTCCCTAAATTGTTTTACCTTAACGAAGATACGCGCTCCAAGTATACGACACTGCAGTGCTTGTTCCGATTGCACGTGTTTGTGCACATTACAAAGGGGGGCTTCGTAAACTAGGATTTTCATGCGTCCAGTCGTTCGCAAAAGTTGAATCGGAGACCTCGTGCCGAGGCCTGAGTTCTAGCATACCGCTGGCCGCGAGTAGAGCACTAATTTTAGCATAAGGGCACCTTCGAAAATTGAAGAGTTATTGCAAAAAATTCTAACTTATCAGCTTTCACCAGACCACTAGGGAGGAATGGAGTCAAATTGAGGAGTAAAGACTCCGAAATCCCTGCTGATCAAATCATCGGTTTATAGAGCGTTATTGTCCATAAATTTTTCTTTCCAAAACTGAAGGTATCAGGATTTTCTTCAATCTCACTTGATGCATCCATAAATGTGGTATCATTCCTTACTGCCAGATTCATAGTTATTTATCTGGTCACGAGAGGAAGTTGTTATGTCATCGCAATATGTGTACCTCAGTGAAAATGAAAGAAAACCTTCATAGCAAACATTTTCAAGGCAGCTTTTTGTTTGCTAATACCTCTCGTACATTGACCACCTTTCAAGAAATTCTACACAGTTACGAACTCGTGCTCTTGCCTTTTTTGGAATGATCTCTTATGGAAATTGCTTAGGATGCGATAATATTTTTCTAGTATAATAATAGGATTGTTGAGGGAGGACACATGGTTTTGGTGGCTAGTCTGGGGCTCACTCTACAACACCCAAATTGTTATTAATCTGGAACAACGCTTCAAGTAGCGGAACTTTCAACTGCAACATATGAACTGCCATGACAATAATATATTCTTTGTGTAGCAAATACATCTATCTATATGTACATATATATAAAGCACAAGTTCTGTGTGTGTGGGTCTGTGCTGTATGTTCCGAATACAAATTTTTGTTTCTGAACCGATCCGGCAAACTCACATACATACACTTTGGAGCATTGCGGGTAACGTAGGTCACATTATCCGGAAAAATATCGATTGACTTTATCGACTTACTGATTTTTTCGCAGTGATAGCTGAGAGTTGGTACACTTGGGTAATTTGATATGCTGATTTTAAATATGATAACCGCTCAAAGATTTACCGATTGAGTCTATTGATTTATTGGTTTTTCGCAGTTTCTGGCCAAAGGCGCTGGGAGTTGGTGTACTAGGTTAACTTATGTGCCAATTACGAATTTGATATCCTCCTGAAAATTCATCGATCGATTCTATTGATTTATTGAGTTTTCACACTTTTTATTTTGAGGAGCTGGCAGCTGATGCACGGGGGTAGCTTGGTATGCTGATTACGAATTTGATAACCACTCGAAGGTCTATCAATTTATCCCACCATTTTGGCGGTTTTTTGCTTTCAATACTGGAAATTGGTGAACAGTGGTTTGTTAACAGGCTGATTGCGAGTATATCATTCGAGACAGTAACTACTAATTTCATGGTTTTTTCGTGTTGCTACCAATCGCAAAGATGTGCTAACATGCTGAATAGTACGACGTAATTTTTTCCACTTTAGGTTTGCTAAAAGAAAATTTTTACGCTGTAAATCTTAAAATCTACTGTGCTCTTTCCAGAAAAAAATTGTCTTAAAACAAGGTAGCGTTGACTACTTTGGAACAGCCGAGCATAGCCGGGTCTGCAAGCTAGTGTAGTGATAA